AAGAGCTTGGCCCCGTCCTCCTGACACCCACCCTGCAGATATTTGTAAGTATATATTAGGTCCCCTTGCAGCCTTAAATGCCGCAGCCCTGCCAGCCACGCCGGATCGCAGGTGGGGAGGGAGGAGCGCAGGAGCATCCCAACAGAGCTGGGAAAATCCCCACTTCTGCATCGGGCGCCGGGGAGGGATGCTCCAGCCAGGCAGCGATCCCAGGCTCTCCTTGCCCTGGGCACAGCAACCCGGATCAGCACAGCACGGAGCGAACGAGCACTGATTCTGGGGCAAAACACGGGACTTGTTTTTTTTTCCCTGGTATTCGGTGCAGCACTACCGTGTGCAGCTTTAAAGACAGCTTGGTTTTTCTGTTCCAGCTCAGAGTGCTGCATTAGATGGTCGCAAGCACTCAGAGGTTAAATTAGCCTGTTTGCTGGCGAGTCCAATCCTGCCGTGGGACGCTACAGCAAGGAAAATCCTGGTCTGTGCCGTAGCTCGTGCCTGAGATGTGCTTTTCTGGGCCTGAGCCGTGCTCGGCTGCGGCTGGGCAGGACGAGGGCTGACTCTGCTCCCCCTACGCCGGGGCCAGGAGTGTCCCGTGGGAAGCAGTGACCTGCCCCGGCGCACGGCGAGGCAGTGGGGAGGACGGGGCATTTGCACCGGGGCTGGGATGCGTGGTCCTCGCACTGGTGTGACTCCAGGACACGACACGGGGTGCGAGCAGGATCGCATCCGTGAGCGGGAGGTGCAGCCTTGCTGGAGCCGGGACACCCAGGGGCTCCTGGCCAACACGAGGACGGGCGATTTGGCTGCCAGCTCGGGCAGCACAGCCTGGACTGGGTGTCTGTCCCCCCAGACACTGCTGTGGGGTCCCTAAGGCTGCCCTGGGGCTGGTTTGGGCAACAAGCAATGCTCCAAACTCACCGGAAAAGTTCTGGGAGGTTTGGGTGCCCTCCTGGCAGCTGGTACAGCCGTGACGTGAAACCCCTCAGCTGCCAGGAGCAGAGGAGGGGTATGAGCATTCACCCCGAGAGCAGCCCGCTTATCATAGAATCACAAAATCATTAAAGTTGGAAAAGACCTCTGAGGTCATCAAGTCCAACCGTCAGTCCAACCCCACCATGGCTGCTAAACCATGAAGTGCCACATCTCCATGTTTTCTGAACCCCTCCAGGGATGGGGATTCCACCACTGCCCTGGGCAGCCTGGTCCAATGCCTGACCGCTCTTTCAGTAAAGAAATTTTTCCTAATATCCAATCTAATCTAATCTTTCCAAATATCCAATCTCATCTAATCTATCCAAGCTGGACCAGGCTTGCAGGACCCGGCAGGGTGCGAGCAAGCGATGCTCGCGCTGGGATCCCTCAGAAGGTGTCTCCAGGTGGGTGTTCCTTCGCTCTTTCTCACGTTGGCCAATGCCCAAACAACTCCGAGCTGGTGTGAAGCCTGGCGATGGGGGAGACCGAGGGCTGCGGGGCCCAGCCGGGGCCAGCCCTGATGCAAGGGCCACGGGTGGTGTGGGACGAAGCCAGGGCAGGGGACGGTGGGAGACGAGTCACCCAAACATGCAGGAGGGCAGGAGCGGAGGCAGCGATGGCTCAGCCACGGCGACAGCCAGCCAGGGCTCTTCTGCTGCCCGGTTTTGGGAGAGGAGCAGGATGGTGCCGGGGGTCACTGCTGGGGCCAGGGGCTGGAGCCCAGCGCTGTTCGTGCAGCGGCTGCAGGGCCAGTCTTCCCTGCAGCCCCCAGCATCCCTCCCAGTCATCCCAGCCCAGGCTCCCAATGCCCTCCGCATCCCTCCTGGTTATCCCAGCCAGGGCTCCCTCCAGCCCTCCACATCCCTCCTGGTTATCCCAGCCCAGGCTGCAGATGCCCTCCGCATCCCTCCCGGTCATTCCAGCCCGGGCTCCCAATGCCCTCGCATCCTTCCTGCTGGGCACAGCTTACTGGGGCACCGTGGGGTACCAAAAAGGCAGGCACTGGGGCAATGTCCTGGGCAGCCCCCAGCCAGCAGCTAAGTCCCCTCCCAGCCGCTCGCTCACTCTCCCCGCAGCGGGATGGGGCAGAGAATCAGACAGGCAAAAGCATGAAAACCTCGTGGGTGAGAAGAGAAACTGGGGGTCTATAGGGCCCATACAGAAAATATCCTTGGAAAAAATCCTGCCTCCTCCATGCCTCCCTGCTCGGCCCTCAGGACCTCACAACTCTCCCAGGGCTGCAACTTTCCCTGTGATCCCAAAATCCCCCAAGGACCCGGACCGTTACTTTGCTTTTTCCTCCCGCTCACCCTGAAGCCGGAGCCCACTGTGGGAGGCAGAGCCGCAGATGGCAAGGGCAGGCAGAACCAGGGACGCTTCTGGTGGCTTCCTCTTGCCAGCCCCTTCTCCCCCAGCACCATGCTATCAATTCCCTCCTGGTAGGATTAATGGGCTTTGCCTCTCTGTACACAAGGACTTAAGTAATGCGCTCCCCAGAGAAGAATAAAGTTTCCCTTGCCCCAGCAATGCTGGAAGGGC